TGTCTTACTGGTCACTCGGGTGACCAGAGTCTCTGAGGCATCCAATATGCCCCCTTCATCGGTGACAAGCGTGACCGAGCTTATTGGTCGCGCAACCGGGATAGAGTCTTCCCCGGATGATCCTACGGCTGCCTTCTTCTTCCCCAATGAGATCTTTGATCAGGGAGGAGAGTTGGGAGCGACGAAACGCTTAGGCGCCATATCTGCAAAAGAGACAAGATCGTTAGGTCGGGAATGTGCACGTTGCTCGGGAAGTCAGATCGGGAAGAGTCAATTAGGGTTAGACCTTTCGTTTTCTGCTTTCCCCGAGCAGGAGCTCCTGCCACCACGCCCATTGGGACCGACTTATACTTCTCGGTCAATGTGTACACTGGATCGGGTAACTTGGCCGCTTCGAGGCTCTCCGCCGTCCGACATATCTTATAATTATGAATCTCGCTCGAGGTCTTCTTCACCGCTTCCCGAAGGGTTGGAGTCTCGTCTGGCACAACTTGCTTTCTGAAGCGTGAACTCCACACCCTGTCAACCGGGAGGATCCAAGGGTCATACTTGACCGAGAAGATCCTGTTCTTCCACCCTTTGTTATTCCCGGGCAGTCCTTCAATCGAGCATCGTCCTTCCCGAGATTGCACCATCAGGAATCCACCTCCGTAATTGCCCGATAACACCTTTACTTGATAGATGAAGTTGAAGAGCTCCATCGAACAAGCCACTTGATGCCGAGCGCATATTTGAGTAAAGCAGGCGATGATCCGATGGGAATTCGGACATATCTGGGCCGGCATAACCCGGTAGTAACCCAAGAAGGCGGTCAGAATGGCGGGGAAGGGGAAGTCGATCGGGGCCATCAGGGAGTTATAATGCATCCCGATCCACTTGCCCCGATGGCGCTCGATGACGTTCCCGAGCCGCCGGCTAGTATCGAATTCTACTCGGCCGTTCAACCTTTCCGCGATCCGCGCAGCTTCTCCCTTCATGAGTTCACTCATGTGCTCCGCAACGTTGTCGCTGTTAAGGAACTGGAAACCGTCATCTGCCCGGGCCGCTGGCTCGGCCATATCTTCATCAACCGGCTCGTCATTTGCCCGAGCGGCGGTCTCCGGGTGATCCCCTATCACCCGGGTAGGTGTTTCCCTAACACCTCTGGTTGGGAGACCTCGTCCACTCGTGGAGATCTCCTCGCTACCCGAGCTCCCGGAGCCACTTGAGCTAGATCCTGATGATCCGCTCGACCTAGTCGGCTCTTGCTGCGTGGGGGCTCGCTCTGGGGCCTTGCCGGGTTGTTGAACGACCTCCGGAGAATAAGACATAATGTCTATCACCTCATCGCTAATTTGCTCGACCTCCTGGTCGTAATCCCCGATTGACGCGTTTTGACTGTCCGAGTCTGACATCTTGACTACCTAGGGGTGGTCGGGATTAATAAGGGGCTCGGGGAAGTTAGGTCAGTGTAACCTAGATCCTATGTCTCTACTGCTACGGCATAAAGAAAAATACGAAAGGAGGGAACTAGAGAACTTACCGGTTGAGGAGACTTTGAGTTGAGGGGGCTTGAAATTGTTCTGCTCGACCGATCTGCTGAAGTAGTTGCTCGGGACTCTCTGAGGGTGCCGATCGCTTCAATAGATTGGAGAAAGTTCAAATGAAGTTCTCAAAGGCCTATTTATAGGAGAAGGTTTGGGCGGGAAACCAATCATCACGCGTGACGCGACCGTTCCTGAATCCGAGGTGACCGTTGCGCTTCCTGAGACGTGCAGTACTCGACACGTGGCGAGAGGGAATGACAGCTGTCCGATCGATTTGGCGGCGAGCGTTTGGGCTTCTCCATCCCGCCCCATTTTTTTTCGAGCGGTCAAAAAGGCACGAGCTGGGGGGCTCTTGGTAGGGAATACCCCGACTGACATGCCTTTCGTTCTCTTTCTTACTTATTTTGCGGGTTACAGGTCGGATTCGTGTAGAGGAACCCGGTCAGTACCCGACCGGGGTGTCAACCACCGAGCGGTAGCCCTTTAGCGAGTGTGCTGACTAAAGACACGTGGCGGCACTAGACGGCGACAGACAGGGCACCCGGGAGGATGACACGTGGTTGCTACGTGGGAAGCATGCCGACCAGCCGGATTCTTGTCCCAGGCTCCGCGGCTATAAATACCCGCTAAAGCAACAGTGTAGAGGACTTTTGGACGATCGATAGGTTGTATTCAGAGAATCCCAACCGCATCCAGTCGGTACTCGGTGCGACCAAGTAGATTGTACTTAGGACCTTTACCGAATTAATAAAAGACTATTTACTTGCTTTAATTGATCCAGACTTTATTGATAGTTACCGCACACACGTGGTATTTACATTATCATGTATGAATAGCATTTAGACTAAAATTATAGTTTATAAGCTGACTGGTCTCTAAGTATAATGGTGACACTATATTATACTCTTAACATTCAAATCAAATTCAGTGGAATAAATGTATTAAATTTAATATTAGTCTCAATAATATAGAAATATAAATATATATTATATTATATTAATAAATGTCTTCATTTTATAATTGTTCAGGACGAGTTTTCGTACATTGAAAACGTTGTATAATTTTTTCTTTATCAACAACGCTTTCAAACACATTTCTTTCAATAAAAGTATCCAAAAAATCAGTCATCAAATTATCTACATACTCTCATTCAATTGTGCAATATATTCTTCACTATCTTGTCTTGATTACTAAAACGAAAAGCTCTTCCAACAGTTGCAATTGTCACCAGTAACATTAAATCTAATTTCACACGTAAAAATAATAATAATAATAATAATAATAATAATAATAATAATAATAATAATAATAATAATAATAATAATTAATGGATATGCACTATTTTTCTTTGTCTCAACTAATTTTTCAGCAAGAAAATTAACAAATCTCTTGGATACTGAAAAATACAGAGATAGAGCGCACATCAAGGATATAATATTATAGCGTTTACAAGAAGCTCCAACAACATTTAACAAAGTACCAATGTTTTGAAAAAGTAAAACAACACAAAAATGTCTAAGTTTTAAATCAACTTTAAGGGGGTGTTTGGTTGGCATGAATTGCGTTGGAATTGAATTACAATTCAATAAAATGATAAACTACATTGTTTGGTTGGAGGGAATTGCAATTTCCTCAATTCATTGAATTGCAATTCATAGGTCCCCCTATGAATTGCAATTCAATGAATTCATCCACAGGGAAAGGGAAGGAAAAGACATATTTGTCCTTCAATGTTATTATTAAAATTATTACACAAAGGGTATTTTAGTCTTTATATCACTTATTCCATTTTCTTTATTCCTCCCTACCAAATAATGTAATTGTAATTCCTACTTTATTCTCACTTTATTCTTTTCCCACCGAATTACAATTCTTTTCCTCCTTAATTCATTCCTTCCAACCAAACGCCCTATAAAACTCTATGGGGGTGTTTGGTAATTGGATGTTAGTTGGTAACAGATAGCTGGTTGATAGCTAATTGTATTAGCTAGTTTGACCACCTGGTAGTATTAGCTGGTTATAGAAAGATATTTGGTAAATTAACTATTAGTTGATAACTGATTACATGTAAAATGACGTTTAAAGGTACGAGTGCATTATGTTATTTCAACATATAATAATAATAATAATAATAATAATAATAATAATAATAATAATAATAATAATAATAATAATAATAATAATAATAATAATAATAATAATAATAATATTATTATTATTATTATTATTATTATTATTATTAATTTTAATCTTTATAAATGATTCTAAAATTTGAGTCACCAATTATATTTGCAAGTGTGTTATTTTTTTTATTTATATAAGTGTATTATTTTTATTTATTTCACTATTATTGAATTATTGTAATAATAATAATAATAATAATAATAATAATTATTATTATTATTATTATTATTATTATTTATTTTTTTATTATTAAATGCCTAAACCCGGCCATGCCCACGCCCTATATTATTGTTGTTGTCGTTGTAGTAGTAGTAGTATAAACTCAAGTCGATGGCAATCCACAAGACCACAAATTGTGTCAAAATCCCTACCCACAGCAGCAATGACAAGATAAGGAAGACGGCCATGGCAAGAAGATGTAGAAGACGGCCATAACGAAGAAGACCGTGACCCCTTGAGAAGGCCTTCTCCGGCGAGAAGGCCACCACAGTGGTGGCCTTCTCAATTGGAGAAGGCAACCCAGATCGTGGTGGCCTTCTCGCCGGAGAAGGAAACCCAGATTTGGGTTGCCTTCTCCAGTTGAGAAGGCCACCACAGTGGTGGCCTTTTCGCCGGAGAAGGCAACCCAGATTTGGGTTGCCTTCTTCGGTGGAGAAGGATGGTCGCCTTCTCCGTGATTGGCGACCGTTCGCCGATTGCCGGTCACGTTTTTGCCTGAAAATATGTCGAAAAGTGGTTGGATCTACAATGACCTATGATAGCAGGTCATTTACTTGTATTTGAGCTTCATTGCATGAAATTGTATTTGTTCATGGGTGTAATTGCACCTTTAAAAAGTTGGAGGGGTTAATTGACTTTTAAGCAATAGTTTGAGGGCCTATTTGACCATTTTTCCTTAGAGTTTCATTAAGCATACTTTCAAATTCTTATATATTCCCTTCTACTTTTTGATATGGCAAACAATGATGATGGGTATTTTCATTATTTGAGTCCATGTGTCTAAATAAAAAATTTGAGTCATAGAAAAGTGTCTAAATCAAGAATTTGAGTAATAGAAAATTGTCTAAATCAAGAATTTGTAAGGCTCAACCCACAACCTCCCATACAAGAGAGTAACTTGATCAAATATATATTTTTTTCCAAATTATACATAATATCTAGTTTTTAAGCCAAATGACCCAAATAGGCGTGTAGCCGTTTAGGACCACCTAATTAACAAAAGATATGCACGTGAAGTCCCTATCATCATCCACCAAAATCTGGGTAAATTTCAGAAGAAAAGAAATGAAGAAACACATAATAATGCACAATATATGACAACAAAGATACCTTACATATATAGTTCCATGAGCAATCAACAATCCTTTACATTTACATATACCGTAGTCACGGACTCACGGTGATGTGGTGCACAAGTTTTGGTGGCTACAAAATTGATCATACAACACGTACTCAACCACACTATACCCGGCCAGTACATTAAGACAACAAGATTAACACCAATATAATTAACACTTATGCACAAAAACCAGCAAGATATATAGCAAACTGACAAGCTAAGTAGGCACTTAAGCATATCCAAATTCTAACTTCACCTTAAAAGCTAGTTAATTAGCTCAAAAGCAGATCGGAATAACTTCATTCAAGGAACGTTAACGCCGTTGTGGGTGGCAGCGCCGCCGCCGGGTCTGTGTCTTGCGGCAAAGCGATTAACCAAGGCAAGAGCGTTGCTAGTGACTCGAGCAACATTCAGAACTCTGGCCCTAATCGCCCCCTTCACGTTCCCATCCATGGCCGCCCCGGCAAACCCATCAAGGCAAGTGTTTTCGTTGGTCAAAGCAGCGCTAACCCACGTCTGCACATTGCCCACATGCCACACAAAGTCCTGGCTCGGCACTCGCCCCGCCGCCCGCCCCAGCTCCCGGATGGAACGCCTTAGCTCATCCATGGTGTCGCCCATGGTGTCCACGCAGTCTTTAACCGCCTGGAGTTCCCTTGGCTTTAGCCCTCTGCCCGATCTTGTCAGCTTCACCACGAACATCGCGGCCGACCGAGCCTTGGCTAGGCTGACGGACAAGGCAACCTCGGCCAGTTGCCGCTCGCTCTGCTGGATTGAGTTGGCATAGGCGGAGAGACAGTCAACGCACAAGGATGGGTACCGGGTGGCTCTGCAAGAGGCTTTGATGAAGTTTGAGGGAAAGGAAGAAGACTCTGCTGTACCGGCAAGATAAGAAGACAAGATTATTAGTACCAAGTAAAGAAGACTAAGGTTGCCCATTTTTGCTTTGCACATCTAGGAACTAAGATTGGATTCTACTTCACTCTTTAAGTAGATGTATGAGATTTTGGGAAGCTTTATATAGCACCTCAATCACAATGGTCCTTATTATCAACCCTTACCAATAGATTTAGAGATTAAATAATTGGTATTCAGATAACAGATGATAGGCAAAAAATAAAATTGAAACTTGATAGGTACCAGATACTAGTCTGGTGACTCAACTGTACATGAACAGCAGAGGCTAGACCTTTGCTCACTGCGCACAAGGAGCCCTCCTCACTTGGAGAGGTTGTGTCATTCTTCCAACTTTCACCTCTATGACCAGTTGAGCTACCCAGTTATATAGATTTAGAGATTAAATAATTAGCCAATGAAGACAATTCAATTACTCTCTCTGTCCCATTTTACATGTCATATTTATTATTCATTGATTAAATCAACTCTTTCATCTTACTTATTTTCTATAGTACAGAGTTGTTTTAAATTATTTTTAAATTTGATTTTTGTGTTTAATTAATATGAAGTAGTACTATTAATGTAGTTTTTAAATATATAAATTTTACTGAATATATATTAATATATTAAACTTAATATTATGATAATTAAACTAAAAATAATTTCAGTCAAACCTTAATCGAACCAAACAAACAAAATGGGACGAATGAGTAGTATTCAAGTAGTAAATTATGGACAAAAATGCAGGATTGGAAGTTGACAGTTGCATTGTGAGAGTTACACCTAATGTGGTGGATTTTTAAAATGCACCAAATAATGCTCTTCTCACCTAAACTATCAAGTCGCTCAGTCACCATACTTTACCCTTTCACCATTCTTTTTCTAGCTATCATCTCATCATCCAAACTAATAGAAAGTTATATAACTTATATTAGAACTTAAACAATATAGAATCAAACTACTATCTCGCTCAATTGAGATAATACTCTCTCATCAATATTTATTACACCATTCACAAAATATATAAGTTCAAAACTCTAAAACAAATTAAATTCCCCCATTTTTACTAGTGTAATTGGTAGCTAGAAGCTATCTTGAAAAAGCAAGCATATATTCCAAATAAAGTACTCATCTTTTAAGGTTAAAATTAAAGGTTGTCACATGTCGGCCTCCTTTTCTTTATCTCCTTTATTTACAAGCCTAGCTTGAACCACAATATTATTTTCTATTCAATATCTTAATCCATTTATGTCCTTTCACGTTACCATTTGAAGTTGCAATGGTTTTGTAACTCTTCTTAATGATCCCATCTTTTGCCTCAACCTCGTCAGCATTTAGATAGATATATACATTCTTTATGAAACATATTATCATATATTATTATATACATAATAGAAGCTGAACCTTTACGCATAGAAATATTGTCCTTGTTTACTATTGACTCATCATGACCAATAATTGCTTTAAAACCATGGACAACAACAAACAGGGAGTGAGATTTTGGGATAAGTGTCAACCTAGTCAGTTCTAGACTCTCTAATAAAAAGAAATGAAAATCACCATTTTGGTCTCTCAATTGTTTCGCAACTGTTAATGTAATCCTTAGTTATTAATTTCAACTAATTTGATCATTAAATTGTTTAAAATTTTATCAATTAACCCTTCTGAGGGACCGAAATAGTGATTTCTTCATTTTTAAAATTTCTTCAATTTGATCCTTTAAGGTTTTAATTGACGAAATTTTAAACAATTCAAGAATCAAATTAATTAAAATTGAAAATTATACCCTACATTGGCAGTTGAAAAACAATTGAAGGACCAAAATGGTAATTTCTCTTAAAAAAATTATAAATAAATTTAGATATTGACGAGCCATTTTTGATTTTCTAGTCACAAAAAATTCATAATATCTGGTAATCATATTTACCTTTGATTAATCAAAAGTTAAGCATTATGAAATCTCATATAGCTATATGCATGCGGATATAAGATAATTCTCTCAACATTTAGTACTCTATGTTCATAATGACATGGTGCAGGGTCAGGCTGTTGTCCTGTTGCAGCTGCCAAAATTGGAGAGGGGAAAGACAAGTTATTAAGGGTCACCAATATAGCCCAACAAATACGGTTCACGCAAGAAGGAATTATCTGAATTTTTTAGAATAAATAATTCTTTGATGTCAAATTTAATGAGACATAGTGGTGTGCTACTTGTGGAAGAGTATTTGTAACTGAATGTTAGTGTTTTAATTGTTCAAAAACCCCAACTTATAATTGGCAATATTATTATGCAATACTAAGATAGGATTAGTTCAGTGTCAGTTTTGTTCTACAGAGGACTGATCAATCAGATAAAACAACAGAGGGACTGACACTGAAGATCTGTTTTAGGAGCTGTTTTCCTAAAAGCTGTACGCGGTTTTACAGAAGTCAGATTTGGAAAGAAGATCAGCGTATCTGCTTTGGAAAGGTATGGACCGAATCCTTAAGATTACATTCTTCAAATATTGTACTACCATCTACAATCAAAGACATCTATGGAAGGAGTGTTCTTTCGACGGAACTATAAGTATCCTCATTCGAAGAGAATTAAGGTTACGCCTTTAGAGAGAAGAAACACTCCGCATCAGTTTTATGAGATCAGATCTTTGATTCCTATGCCTCTTCTCAATACAACATGTTCATGGTGATTAAGATGAAGAACTTGAGAAGAAACACTGCTGCTTAAACGAAAGGACACTGTGATCACACTGTTGTGGGAACAACTGTAAAGAGCGTCATTGAAGTGGACTGCATCAGAGTTGGCTCTCCAAGTGAAGGGATTTCATTGGACTTCTGTATGCATGGCTCTCCACCTTCAACAATCCACTAAACCTGTGTAGACTGGGTACGTACTTTGTGTGGGGCACTTGGGTGAGATTATTGTCTCTACCTTTGTACATTGGATTATGATTTAGTGGATTGGACGCCTATGTGATCGTCCCCCGGACGTAGATACACACTGTATCGAACTGGGTAAACATCTTGTGTTTTTTGCTTTGTGTTGTTATCTCTTTCTTTTAACATCTCTATGATCTGTCGTTACTGACTGACTTCATCGATGAATCAGTCAGTCCATTTCATCAGTTGATTAATCCAGTTAATCTGATTAAAATGAGGAAATGCAAAATTACATGTGGTATCAGAGCTTTTAAGTCTACATAGTGACTTGATCCGTACGGGTTTTTTAGTTTTGCATTGTTCTCTGTCTTTTGGAAGTGCCTCTGTGTGTGTTCGTTGGCTGGTTGTTTTTGTTCAGGATGGATGCAAGTATGAAACCACCAGAACTAGATGGTCACAACTACTCTTTCTAGAAGGCTCGCATGGAGATATATCTCCAAGCACAAGGTACCAGGGTTTATCGTACTGTCCTAACTGGGTGGAGCCGTCCAACTGTTCAGAATGCTGATGGAACCACTGGGGATAAGCCCATGGAGACTTGGACAGACGATGAAATGAATGCCTCTGATCTAAACAACAAAGCGTTGAACTCTATTGTAGGATCTCTGCATGAATCTGTCTTTACCCTTGTCACAGGGGTAAAAGAAGCTAAACGTGTATGGGAAATTCTTGAAACCAGATTTGAGGGAACTAGTGATGTCAAGCAGTCAAAGCTACAAATTGTACTGTCGGAATTTGAAGCCCTTAGAATGAATGAAGAGGAAACCATTTCAACCTTTCACAGTCGGGTTCAGAATCTGATGAACAGGGCCTCAATTCTTGGTGAACCATTCACTGATGAGAGAGTAGTCAAAAAGATCCTTCGATCTTTGCCTAAACGCTTCCGGATGAAAGTAACTACTAAGTTTATACACATATGAACTTGAAGTGCTTGCTGATGATGATCTTGCTAGCAACAGAAAAGGAAAGTCAGTGGCTTTTGTGGCTGAAACTGATCGAGAATCTGACACAGACGACATAGATGATGAAACCTTGGCACTTCTAACCAAGAATTTCAAGAAAATATTAAAAGGATTCAACAAAAAGAGTCAAGGTCAACCCACCAGGACACAATACAAAGGCAATAACTCCTCATATCAGAAAGCCGAAACAACACCTTTTTCACAGAACAATCAATCCCAGACTGGTCGAACAAGACAGAACAGAAACAGTTCCACAGATACAGGGAGGTCTCTCAACCGGTCAGTGCAGTGTAGAGAGTGTGAAGGTTATGGACACATACAGGCAGAATGTGCAACGTATCTCAAGAGGAAAAAGGCTATGTCAGTAGCTACACTAAGTGATGATGAGGAGGAAGCATCTAATGATCAGTCAGATGATAATGTCGGAAACTTTGTAGCTTTCTTTACAGCTATAGATATTCAGTCAGACGGAAATGAATCAGATGAAGAATCTTATATATCAACAGATGATTTTGAAGAGAGACATACCCAAGTTGAAATGGAATTTGCTAAACTTGTTGCAAGCTGGGAACAACTAGTGAAAGTCAATAAAAATCTGAATGACGAGCTGAAGCAAAGGGATGATCTTCTAAAAAAAACTAAATACAGATCTTGTCATAAAAGAAGATCTTATCACTCAGATAAGATCCAGAGAAGGAAAAATGATAAAGGAATTGGAAGGTCTGAAGAAAAATATCCAGATGATGGACACCACATCAACTTTAGACAAGATTCTGGACTCTGGCAGAAATCCTAATGATAAAAAGGGTCTAGGATTTGAACGAGGTGAATTTTCGAATAATGCTCCTATGTTTGTCAAAGAGGGTATGTTTAAGGCCACAGCAGTTCACAGCTTTGAACAAGGACAGTCATCTCGGTCAGTGCAGAAAAATGACAAGAGAAAGATATATGATCAGACTGCAGATACTGACTTTGTCAAAGTAACTCATCAATCTCATTATTCAAGGTTCAAAAATAAGTTTGTCAGAGTTAGACAATACACTCCCATTTGCCACTAGTGTCAAACAAAAGGTCATACTCGCCTGAGTGTTATTTTTTCTACAGAGATCAAAGGAAGGAAAAATATCAGAACAAGACTATTACACCGTTCACTAGACAGGTTTGGGTCAGAAAGTCAGAAGTTATATGCTACTCCACTATAGTTCTGACTGCGTCTACGATTG